CTTAGATGATTCTGAGAAAGAAACCCTTGCAAGGGTGAATGAATAATCATCTCCCTAGGAAACCAGTTCCTGAGGCACTGAGAGCCTGTGCCCCAAATGTTGTGTTTCTAACCCTACCATAGTCTTGTTCATTTAGCTTTTTAGCACTTTTAACATTCTCAATGTCCCGTTCTTCAGATATCAAACCCTTTTGCAAGAAAACAGAGTCAGCAAAGGCAAAGTCACTGGCCAAGCAAAGATGGTGTCCTGCCAAGGCTAAGTAATCAAAGTACTCCCCTGCTTTGGCATGGCCTCCGTGACCTCAGATTTTGCTGCTTCCCACCATCCCCACAATCTGTGAGCACTGAAGAAGAGCACACCACTGGTGGCCCTCACAAAAACTACAGAAATTCCTCATTTCTAGTCCTCGATTACAGCAGCTGTGAATAAATTGTATGCACTACATCAAAGTGCTACACAGTGAAGACTTGAGCAGATAATTTTGTCTTGAAATATGTGTGCTATGTTTCTTCTGCTAGCACTGGCATCTAATGATATTAAGCCTGGAGGATCCCTGCAACAAAATCTGGAGGGCAAGACTTGAAGGCACCTAACAAAGTAATGGAAACAAAGAGTCCATAACTGAACAGACTCCATTGCACATCAAGGAAGTAGGAGAACAACAACCTCAGCAGGAGATGCAGAGGAAAAAGATTTGCAAATTCTGAATGAGACCATATTTACTGATGGTGGAAAATAGACAGAAGCAAGGATGAGACAAAAAGAGGTATTATTTTTCCATGGTACCACACGCAGCTCCAGTAGCAGTGACAGTAGTCCTTTGGGTGTGTGCAGTGATCAATAATTAATACAATTTTTCTCTTCTATTGTTATACTGCACAGACTTATGATCACGCTCCTCGATATTTCTGCCTTATCAGTCTTTAAACTGGATCTCCTCTTGCTTGTGTCACTCACCTTGTGCCCTTCCCAAAACTTCTTCGCCTAAAACTCTGTTTGCACAAGGGGAAAAGGCATGCTTTGAAACAAAAGCATATGATGTGGCCAGGTTTTGCCACCCTTGTCCATCCTCTGTGAGTTGCTCCCACTCCCAGCTGTATTTTTTCATACTGCTTCCGTATTGCTGCTCATGTAACAATCAACACATTTGATTCCCATCCATTCCGTCCCTCAACCTGCTCTTGTCCTGCCTTCAGATGCTTTTGTCCTACTGATGATGTCTACCACTACCTTCTCATCCTACCACATTTTAAAATATCAAAACACATGAATTTTGCTTGTGCTTGTTGTACTCCCATTGGCTTAGTATGTACTCTGCTTCACCTCTCTCTTTTTTCTACTGTTTCCACATTCTCTATTTGTCTAATTTACTCCTTAAATTATTTCAGGGCAGAAACCATTTCTCCAAAGCATACTGAAGGTTTAGATAATGTATACATGGTGAAGGATGGCTCCCCTGTAGCTTTCTCTGCTATTCTCTCTAAAAATTTACAAGCTTTTTGACAGCTTGCATTTCCATGCTCAATAAACAGCCCATTCCTTCCAGACTAAGGAATCATTCTAGCACAATATAACTACCTTCCTTTGTCCCTCTATCCCATTCCTTCTCCCTAATCACTAATTTCCATCTACTTTTATCTACAAACTCTTTCAGACTTGTTATGACTGTGCAAAAGAAAAGCTTTCATACCCCTCAGAAGAGGAATTCCATGAAAGTGAAGGTGTCCTTAATTTTTCCTTGACCTCACTCAATCCTCAATAAGCTATCTTGAAACTATTTTATCTTTACACTTAGAGAGGATTTAAGAAACTGGGAGCAGCATATGGCCTAAGAGACTCATAAGAGGCATGTGGAATTGTCCCATATAAGCATATTTTATCACATGAAGGAGCAGCAAGCTGAAAGGCTTACCAACAGAAACACATCCCTGTTAATTAAAATCCCTGGGCGTACAAATCCAAACCAATGCACTGAACAGAATCCCTTGTTAAGTCTGTGCACCTCTCACCAAAATCCTCAGCATTTGGTCATTTATGATCAAACTGCAACCTCTGTGGCTGTCACAGGTATGACCAAGGCATATCGTACACCAGAGATTCAACCAGACTGAAACTGCAACTGAGGATGCCCGCGTGAAGTGTGTGTGTCTCTGGAGAGAGGACCAGTGGACTAGGAGCTCATGAACTAACTACATTTTGTACTTACTTTTACTCTCTGGATGCTTAACAGTAGCTTAATAGTAGTTCACAGCCTTTATTAAGGACACAAATGTTTTATAGCCTGAGCAGAGATGCAAGCATCACACCACCCTATTCACAGACAGTCAGTGACTATCAGAAATGTTAAAGAAGATGACTATGGATTGCTCTGGGAATAATATAACATCTCTAAAACATCAAACTAAGACTCTCCTTTCCAGACAGAAAACACTAACTTGGTTTTTACCCCATTCTGGGTAAAATGGGGCTATTTCATTTTCCTAGATTAGCAAAGAAGTATGGACTGACAGATGAACAAACACATACAAGTCCACATCATCTATTAACTCCAGATACATCTTAATTCTCTGTTTCCTGCTCTAATCACTTGATTATATGTTCTTCCCTTGGCCAGGGATGATGCAATTATATCATAATTTAACAAAATTATGCATGGGCTGAAAGGGCAGAATCAAGGCTGAAAAAGCTATCTCTTAATTTTCATGTTGTTTGCCTGTGTCCTCCACCTTGCAATGATCTTTTGCTGCAGCAAACTCTTTCTGAAGCATTATATTCTAAAGGAATAAAGGAGCGGAGTACAGCATTTCCTAAACAACTAACAGAAAACAAAGGTAGCTACATAACCTAGTGATGATAAAATGTTACAAGATCAGGAACAGCCCCCAAAAAGTGTAAAACTGTTCCAGGGCAGCAGGTCAACCCAATGCAAACAGGAGAGAAGGATTTTGCATCTCTGAGTATGACAAGTACTACTTTAGAGAGCTAAAATGTTTGAAGAAAGAGTAAAAATAGCGCTCTTAAGTCTAACTTTAAGTGCAAGTAGCAGTGTACGCAGTAGCAGCCCACTGAGAAAGGTGCTAATGCCAACATCTGGCCCTGCATGTAGATACAGGCAACTTGTCTTTTTCAGGGAGTAGCTTATCCAGTAAAAGTTAATGAAGCTACACAGAGGTATGAGAGGGGAAAATCTGTTCCAGATACCATGAGTTGGTATTAGTCCTTTCAAAATTAATGTTCAGAACTGAGACACTGCAGTTTTGCATGAAACAGTTAACCCATAGCAGAATCTGACTACTGCATTTTTTAATGAAATTTGCCTTCATTATTTTTGTAGTTACTCTCCAAGCAGTGCCTGCCATATATGCCTATATAGCACATATATTTACTTCTGCTTATTTTTAGTAGAACTGAATCATTCTGAATGTCTTCGATATAGCATACGGTCTTCTAATTCCAGGTTGGAAAGCCCTCTTTCTGTGATGGTTTCTAAATAATGGTGTGCTCCACATTACCTTCGAAACTTCCTCATATATTTCATCAGCCTTTCATATTTAATCTCACTGATTTATGCACATGTCATGGTCTAATGACCCACATGTCTCTGATGGGTAAGCCACTAACGCCAGTGACACATTAACCTCTTAACCTCTCTTTAAAAATAACCACGATACTCAGACAAATAGAATGGAGAAGTCAGGCAGCAGTACAACAGTAGCGTTGTGATACCGCACGCTACTGCAGTGTACATCTAAACTGGGTAAAATGAAGAACAAATGAGCGTATCAAAGAGTGAATAGCAGTTAGATTGATTATATTGCAAAATCATCTTGCCACAGTTTGCTGGTCAGCAAATTTGCAAGCCTGTTCTAGCAGCATTATCTGAATTATAAAAATGCAATTAGGAGGAAGATTGCAATTCCATTCACTCATTTCTTGAAAGCTGTTACACAGGTTGGGAGCCCTATCCTGGAACGTATTGAGAGTTCCTTCCAACGAGGAAATTGCCTTCCAAACCCCGCTGAAGACAATGGGAGTGAGGGGCTGAGTGCACAGGGCAGAACCGTTCATCACCTTGGAGAAGGCACTTTGCGCGGCTCTCACTGGCCATCCTTGCAGTGGAATAAAGCCATCATTTTACAAAGCAATAGGAGGCATACCCAGCAATTTTTCAGAGAAAAAAAAATAAATAAATTACTTTTTGTAAGTGCTAGTTTTAGAAGAAAAACAAGTCTAACAAATTGCAAACTTTGTATTGTATGTGTTTACTTCGTTCTACTTTGAAAACACCATATCCCTCAAGATACAAGAAAACGTGCTGCTGTCATGCCAAATCAAGCCACACTGAAACTGTATTATGCCAGCGTATACTTATGCACAGGATGGGCAGGCATTCTCCTGTCATAAAACCAAAGCAGGAAAAAACCCTAAAAAGAAGCTTATCCTGCGCACACTACAGGGTATTTTGCTGCCTGCATCTCATGCAAAGTGGATCTGCACAGCAACCGGAGGAAGGAGGACGGATGAAGAGCCTGTCCCGGGTCTGGGCTGTGCACACGGACAGGGTGACACTGAAGAAACAGCCCGGGTGAGCACAGTAGGGGCTTTCATCCCGGCCGGTTCTTCCCAGCTCCCTGTCCGCGGCAGCACCGGTCCGGCGCGGCGGGGAAACAGGGCGGGATGCGGACAACCCCCGGGGCGGTCGGTGTGCACCTGCCAGCACAGAGGCGGGGGGGGGGGGGCAGAGAGGAACAAAAGCCGAGAGGCGGCGGCGAACTCTTTCCTTTGGGCGGGGAGCCGGTGGAGAGGGGGCTCCCCCGGACCCCACTGTCCCTGGGGAGAAGCATCACCCCGCCGGCCGGGGCGCCGGCCCGACGTACCCGCACCCGGGGCCGCTCCTTTGTTTTCCGTGCCGGGAGGAGCCGGGGGCCGCTCTGAGCCCTCCACGTGTACGCGTGTTCTGCCCGCACGGGTGTGCGCGGAGCCGGCAGGGCGTTCGTTACCTGAGCAGTTGATGCCTTTCCCTTTGCCGCTGCCCTGGCACTCGGAGCCGGGCAGCGGGTGGGAGGCGCGGCCGGCGGGTAGCGAGGAGAGGGCGAGCACCAGGAGGGCCGAGGTGTAGCACAGCGCCAAGGGGGGTCCCGCCCGCAGGAGCGGTCGGGCGGCGGCCGGGCTCTCTCCCAGCATGGCGAGGGGCTGCCGAGGAGCAACGCCGGCGGCAGCGGGATGGCGGCGGCAGGCCCGCAGCATCAACCGGAGCCCGCGGCGCCGCCCGGGCGGGACCGTCCTTTCTCCACCGCTCCGAAGCACACCTTCAGCATCCCCACCGCGGCGGCCGCACAGACTCGCCGCTGCCGCCTCCTCCTCCACCGCTGCCCGGCGGCAGGCGGGGCTGGCCCCGGCGGTGCGGTGCAGCGCGGCTACTGAGCCCGGCGGAGCGGAGGAGAGCTCCGCGCCTATCCGCCGGCGGGGGCCGCCTCGCCCCAGCCGCGCTCCTTTGTGCGCGGCGCCCGGCAGCGCCGCCGCTCCGCCTGCAACAAAGGGAGCGGAGCCGAGGCGACCGCTGCTGCTGCTGCCGCCGCCGCGGAGGAGGAGGAGGAGGAGGAGGAGGGAGAGGAGGGGGAGGAAGCACACGTGATGGCAGCCCCCTCCCCCGGGACCGGAGGGGAGATGAGGGGTTTCTTCTCGCTCAGCGGGCAGGGCGAGCGGCGGCGGCCGCCCCACTGGGAACGGTGAAGGGGCCGGACCCGGGCGCAGCGGGGGGCCGGGCCGGTGGTGGGTACCGCCGCCGAAGGGCGTGTGGGGATAGTAATGATGGGTGCATGTAAGCCGAGCGGGTCCCGAGGGGCGGCGAGGAAGGCGGACCCCTGGCAAGACGTTCGTCATCCCGGGAGGTGGTTTGTTATTCACTAATAAGCCGGCGTGAGTGGGGATGGGGAAGAAAGCAAAGAGAGCATCTCTGCGGCTGATTAATTGTAAGGGTTGTGTTTAATATTTACGGAACAGCACGTATGGCGGGAGCATTTGTATCGATCCAAGTAAATAAACATGTTTACAGTGAAGGTAGTGACTTCTGTAACACTGTTCTTTTACTGTCTAAGGGTTTTTCCAGCCTCCGGCATGGGAATGCTTCAGAGGGTCAGAAGCACTGCAAGGGTACAGGCTGCCAGGCACATCGTACCTTGCGTTGCTGTTGTAGTGTGGCTGAAAGCTTTGTGTGAATTGACAGCACTGTTACCGTTTTCACACAGGGAAACCACAGGACAATGCTTTACATTCAACAAGACTTTTTCCTGCCTCAGTCGTCACTGACATTTCATACAAGTTTTTTAATCCACTGTACAAACTGTTTGTACTGCCCATCTGCTTGGTCTCTGTGCTGCTGGATGTCACCAGCTTGCTGTAAGGTATAGCTGTTGTGTGAAGAGACATTTGAGCAGTTCGTTAAGCTGAGCAGTCAAGAATAAGGCCATAAATCCCACAGTAGGCTTTGGGGTAGGCACAGTGGTCAGACACATAAAGTCAGATCATTGTCTTTCTAAATGTAGTGATGAAGAGACAAGTCTTGTAATACTGTGACTGAGAGCAATTTCCTTTTGGCACAGGGGGTTTTACGCTGACCGCCTCTGCCAAGCAAACTTTCATATCACAGAACCACAGAATGGTTTGGGTTGGAAGGCACCTTAAGATGCATCTTAAGGTCATCTTGTTCCAGCCCCCTGACACAGACAGGGATACCTTCTACTAGACCAGGTTGCTCGAAGCCCCATCAGCCTGGCTCTGAACACTGCCAAGGACGGGGCAGCCACAGCTTCCCTGGCCAGCCTGTGCCAGTGCCTCACCACCCTCATAGTGAAGAATTACTTACTTATACCTAATCTAAATCTACCCTTTTTCAGTTTAAAGCCATTACCCCTTGTCACATCACTAGTTCTGTCATTACTTGCTCCTTCGGCTAGCACCAGTGCTAGACATCGGAAAAGCTCTGCTCATCAATAAAGTGAGGCACATTAACCTGCATGGAGCCTGTTCTGCTGTAACTGGGCTGCTGAGATACATTGACCAGGATGTTTCAAGCTTGCTAGATCTGCGTACAGCAATCTGGTCAGCTTAAGCTGATAAACCTTTCAGTTCTTTAGGCCACAGGACAGGAACAGATCTTGTGTTTTGAAGGTAGTACTTTGCTGTTGTAAGAGCAAATACTCCATATAACCCTTTCCATAAACACAATTATATCCATCTTAAGCTAATTATGCTATTTTCCTGCACTTCTTGCTGGAGGGCTGGAACTACCCTCACCTTTATGTTAGAAAGCTCCTTCTAATGCCCAGCCTGAACACATTCATGACCAGTTCATACCCACTTGTCCTTTTGCCATGCAGTGTTTCAGTAAGGCATTGCTCTTTCCCTTGCACTGAAATCTATAATGGATTTATAGGCAGTAGTCATAGCCACTCTCAACTTGTCTAGCCTATCAGGAAGTTTCGTTAGTCTCTTCCTGTAACAGAGAGCCTCTGTAACTCAGATTTTACTGCACTAGATACAATTTGAATTCAGCTTTTTTTTTAGCATAGCTGATATACAATGTGCAAGTTTTTCACAAAGTATTGCCAGTCTTTGCAATGGAGGTAGTCTCTCCTGATTTCTTCCAAAACTATCTCGTCTCGTACAGCCAATTTGCTTTTTATATCACCAAATTTCACTGATGGCTCAGGGTCATGCTGTGAGTGACTGATACAGGCAACTACTTCTTGTTTGTCTGTCCATAACAGAAATGCCTTTTAAAAATGTCTAAGTGCACGACCTTATCTTTTCTATTATTGAGTTTTGTCTCATTTCTGTTATTCCAGTCCTCAAGATTATGTAGTCATCTCTCTAGAATATTTTCTGAACGTCCTTTCTATCGACAGTTCTGCCCAGCTCTTTGTGTCTGGAGCACTCCCACCTTCACAATATTGAAAATATTTGCTAATACAAACTATTGCTCCCAGAACAAACTTTATGAATCAGTGACAGTACTTGTCCCAGTTTAAACATTCCCCTTCCAGGGCAGTGCAGTGAGTTCCCAACTGAACTTGCAGCTCTGTCTCAGTTCCCTGTGTCTTTCAGCTTAACTAGGCAGTCCGTATGAAAGCTTTTAACAAGTTCAGATAAATTGTAAGTAAACCTCAAGGGGTCTGGCTTGGGGATTTTGTTGTTGTTATTTTTTAACCTGCTGGGATGGATGGGATGCCACTTTTTTTAGCTAGAAAAGCAGTATCTGGGTTGTGCTATCTGTCTGGATGCATCTCCAGCTAGTCTTAAGTGAGTGATACAGTCATGCTTGGTTGGCAAATTCACACTATGCCAGCTGGGTATTCATTCTTATTCTGTTCTTTGATACATGTATTAAAAAAAAAAAACAAACCAAACCTAAACACTTTCCTGCCAGCTCAAGAAGCAAAAGAACTCCACAAGAATTTGAACAAGCTGCTTCTGCAACACAAATTGTTACAGGAGGAGGGAATGCCGCATCAATGAACTGGCAGATCTGGTATGTCTCTGTCACATTTGGTACCTTCCATCTTTGGCAAGTAGATGTGTCTTTATTGCAATTATACAATAATTTCACTTCTGCTCACCCCCAACTGCTCTCCTGTGAAAGTAGGAAGCTCTAAAGATTGTTGAAAATTGTCATCCTCAGTGAGCTCTTGAACACCAACAGCCACTTTTCAGTCCGCTGCTGGTGCAGACAAAAATTCTGCCTTCCCTTATTTTTATCCAGTAATTGTAGGAAGGAAGATGCACAACCAAAGGGAAGCAGGGAATATGCAAGAGCAGAGAGGAGCTGCCAGACCAGTGAGAGCAATTTAATTTGCCAGAGATCTGGATACAATGCAGATATGCTTAACTGTGAAAACACTACTTTATTTTATCTTAAGAGAACAAAATGGAGAACAGAGATCTATTGATTGAAGTGAACTGAGTGAAGCCATTAAATTGTTCTTTAGATCCCCTGTACCTCTATGCATCAGGCAGTAGAATCCTGCCCTTGCCAGCTATTTTGCCAGAGTATTGTGTTTATTAATCTCAACTTTAATTCTTACCAAAAAAAAATGTTTCCAACTCCTGTAGTTGTGAAGAAGACATCAAAAATATTAAGAGGATAAACTGGAACAGTGCTCACATGAAAAAAAAAAAAAAGAACACAGAAAGGCTGAGGCTGGAAGGGAATCTGGAGGTCACCTGCTCCAACCCCCCTGATCAAGCAGGGCCAACCTGAGCAGGCTGCACAGGACCATTCCTGGCTTTTGAATATCTCCAAGGTGGGAGACTCCACAAGGTCTCAGGGAGACCTGCGCCAGTGCCTAGTCATCCCCACTGTAAAAAAGTGTTCCCTGATGTTCAGGAGGAACCCCTGTGTTTCAGTTTGTGCTCATTGCCTCTGATACCAAACCAAAGATGTTGTCTAACTAAAGGCAGAATCAGCCTCAATGAAATACTCAAAACACAGTTCTCTCATAAACTATTTCACTAACATTACTTTATCAAAAATACTCAGTTTATCCAATTGTTGAATTCATTTATCTGTACCAGTTTTTTTCTACTCATCTTCTGTGCTCAGATTCTCAACTGACACCTATCTAAACCTGACACCTTCATAATTTCCAAATTGGATAATACAAACAAGGATCCCACCATATTCTGATAATACAAAGGGAGTGCGTGCAAAATCAAAACAGTCAAGAAAGGACCAGGTGGTATTGGCTATGTCATTTTATTTTCACATGTAATTCATTAGCTATTAAATATTCTATTTAATCAAATAACATTAAAATTCTTTTTTCAGCTCCAAATAATTTCGTCTGTGCTATTCCTGAATGCTTCAGCAAACAAATGCATGGCCCAGGATTTAGAGTGAGGTCACTGTGTAGGACATGAGAGCCTATCCAACAAGCCCCGCATAGATTTATCTTCCACACTCACCACCTGCCATGCAGACATAATTTTGGAGAAGTTTTCTTGCCTGGAAGGCTCTTTGCTGAAGAGAAAGAATGTTTAGCACAGTACTTTCTTGTTTCTTTCAATTCAGGACTAAGTATGTGGCACCAGTCTCAGATCAGTACTTGCCCTCTGTTAAAGTTTCACATGTCCAGAAGCTTGAGCAAGTGATTCAAGTATTGAAGACCTCTCAAAGCTAGGAAAAAACCTCACTATTTGGGCCAAACTGAGTTTGCTGGCACAGTAATACACACAGAGTGAGGGCAATTGCTCAGGAAAGCCAAGCTTGAAGCTTGCTGCTCTGAGGAGGCAGGAAATGGAAGTTTCATCACTGCTTGTGCCCTCTCCCCACCAATATAACTTGATCATGGCTCTGAGGCAGGCAACAGGCAGTGGGGCAGTGGCCATTTTACTGACCTGTTAGAGCCCTGCTGCCCCGTGCAGCAGTGTCCTTTTCCAGCACGTAAAGCTGTCTCAGTGCCTCACCAGTTTTTGAGGCAGCAACACATTCAGGCTAGCTGCTCTTGAGAAGCAAAGATCTCTTTCCCATGTTTTGCTATGCTTCTCTTTTCCATCTTACACTTCACTCCTGTAGTTCTTCTCTTTGTTTCCCTGTTTTTCTCTTAACCTCTCATTAACCTCAGATGTTTACCTACATTTCGTTTTCTTCTCTGATTTTCTGCTTTTCACTTTTCCACTCACCATGGTGCCAGATCTGTTTCTTTTGCAGTTGTTTTGCCTCTCATTTCCCAGAATATCTCTGTTCAGTCAAAAAGGCACAAGTAAAAGCCCATTTAGGTCAATAAGATGATATTTAAGAACCAGACAGAGATACCTTTCTTCTCATTACAATTTCAGTACCTTTCTCAATAACTTTCCTTCCTGTTACAATGTCCCCTTAAATCAAGAAGTGTTACTGA